GCACTTGCCAGAAAGACAGAGAGAGACAGAGAGACAGAAAGTGAGAAATCATCCCCCAGGGGGGATGGCCACACCTCAATCTCTTCTCCATTCTCCTCTTGGGATTGTGGGCACACATGCACGTGCGCCCGGTGTGAGTTTAAGCCACCAGGTCCGGGACTCAACCCGCAGTTGACTACATGGGAGTCCAGACATAGCCATTACACCAATTGCTGGTCCCCACATTTATCTTTTTAAATATGAAATATGTCATGTTAATATACAGGTACTGCACACAGTTACTTTGAATGTCCTATTTTGTTTTTAAAATTTTAATAGTGAATTTATTAAAATGAATAAGGAATAAGGGAGAAATGTGCCTGTGTAAGTGCTGTGGATGGAATGTTTGTGTCCCCCTGAAAATGTGTTGAGACCGAATCACCAATGTGATGGTAATAGGAGGTAGGGCCTTTGGAGGTGATGAGATCTTTAGGGGGAGCCCTCGTGAACGGTAGTAGTACCCTTATAAAGGAGACCTTGGAGAAGGGTCATGTCCCTTCCTCCATGGAAGGATACAGCAAGAAGGTGCCATATGTAAGAAAGCGGGTCCTCCCCGGACACTGAACCTGCCAGTGCCTTGATCTTGTACGTCTCAGCTGTTACAACCACGAGAACTACATTCGTGTTATTTTTAAACCCAGTTGTTTAGAGTGTTTTATTAGAAGCCTCAATGGAGTAAGATTGTGAACCCATCCCAGCTCTTTTTCACTTCATTACAAGAATAGAGTGGTGAGGGAAAATTATGTGGGATTCTCTGAAGGCTTGTAACTGGAAAAGACCACAACCCAAGCAGTACAGAAACTTCCGTGCCCTAGAATATTCCTGAATTGTACAACAGTGTACTTCCTACCATGCAGCATAGAACTATACTCTTTATGTCAATAGTCCTTCAGTCCGAAGCTTGTTTGCTAGAATATTCCTTAGCAGGACCTTGTGAAACAATATTCTCTGAACTTTTGCATGTGTGTAGTAGCTGGCTTATGTCTTTAATACCTTAAAGTCAGTTTGACTGGCTGTAAAGAAAAATGGCTTTAGATTTTCCTTCCTTGAGTATCTT